ACAGGAGAAATCTGCATGAGTTAGGTTTGCAATGTGAGTCGAGAATGATAACTGGCCATCCAGAACCACACCAAGACTTCTTGCCTCTACAGACAGGACAGTCAGAGAGTTCTCAAATGAGATGGCAAGATCATGATGAGGACCTGTAGTTGCAGTGACAGCATGGTACTCAAAGGAGGAAACTGAAAGATGAGAAAAAGCAAGTGGAGTGAAACGCCACTTTCTGGACAAAAGCAAACCTGTGCCACCACTTTCATCACTGTGGATGTACTGTATGTCACACACATAGTCATTTGCAGTTTTAGTAATGAAAGACCATTTAGAAAAACACACACACAAAGAATCGACTTAAAAAATAAAGTGAATAACTACACAAAACAGCAATATTTACAAATGTCTCCATCTCTTTCTTTCTCTCTCTCTCTCTTTCTTTCTTTCTTTCTCTCTATTTCTCTCTCTCTCTCACTCACACACACACACACACACACACACACACACATCTATATACATGTTTATATACACACATACAAGTTTTCTTCCTTGAAACCACTAGGAACCACTGGTTTTGAACATCTGAACATGATTGGGGAGATGTTCTGATTTGTAAAATGCAAGGGGGAAATCCTTAAGTGATTGTACTTTGTTGCTGTTTTTTAAGATTTGTTATTATGCACTTTGATCCATGCTACTTTGTATCTACATACTTGTACCTCAGTGTTCATAGTTATGTCTTATCTTTGTGCTTTCAGACCTTTTTATGCACACACTGGTTACTTTTTAGATGAGCCATTAATTTTTAACTGTATAAAACTGAATTCTGGTGATGCCACAGCCATCCATAACCAGGAGTGCAAGAGATCATAACTGTTCTCTCTTTCTGGGTGGGTAAGGTGGTCCTCCATTCCTCTCCATCACCCAGCACTATAATTGCCAACACAGGCATCTGTTAGCTGATATAAACAAATTAGCAGTTAGCATTCTCAAAGCATGTAATGCTCTTCAGTGATGTTGCATAAGCAGCAGTTTGACATGGTGGAGCTTCACGTGTCTTGTGTCAAGAGCAAGAGCAACCAAATGCTTCCTGTAACAGGAGAATGTAATATGATGTTTCCAGGAATGTGGTGATTTTGGGCAGTTTTGTAGGGAACAGGAGTGGCATGAGTATGGACACCAACATTCACAATGGCCCAAATCAGTTAATTTCAGGTGTTTAGTATTTGTACAGCACTTTTTACAACATCACAAAACAGCACTTTTCTCTGTTTGTTGATGTGTATGTGTGTGAGATAGAAAGAGCACAAAGTATAAATCAGTGTTATTCAGTGCTTATTTTTTTGTTTTTGTGTTTAATGTTTACTCCTTACTTCATTGTGTATTCTGTATGTATGTGTTCTTTTGCAATGCTATTTAACCTGTGTGCCACTCAATATTTTGTATTGTGTGTGCGGGTGTGTGTGTGTGTGTGGGGGGGGGGTGTTTTGGGCCATAAGTGTGACATTTTTTCTTCTCTCTGCAGGCTGGCTGAGTGCGGTATTACAGAGGCAGGCTGTGGTGCTCTGTTTGAAGCTCTGAAATCAAACCACTCATCAAGGCTGAGAATGCTGAACCTGAACAACAATAAAGCAGGAGATTCAGCAGTGAAGGAGCTCTCTGATGTACTAAAGAATCCACACTGTAAACTGGAGAAACTACAGTGAGTTACTGACTTTACACACACATGCACACACAGAGCACTGTGCAGTATTATTTGAAGTATTTGTATTCTTTAATCTATTAATTATTCTATCTATATAATACATTCACCCATAATAACGTTGGACTATTGTGGAAATATGTGTGCAATATGTAGTTTACCAATGTTGTGTAAATAACATCTAACATTACAGACATTTTCAGTATAAAAGGTTTAAGGTAAATCACTCTTGCTGGTCTAGTTTTAGCAGAATGTGATTAGCTCCTGCACAGCATTAAAATGTGATGTTTTCTTCAAAGTGTATAAGCATATATTGAGTCTTTATTTTGTCTGATAAATTATTTACTTTTTACTTTTGTAAGCTGAGGTTTGTTTAAATGTAGAGACTTTCACTGAATTTTTGGCTCCATACTTCCAAAAATTATGTGATTTTGACATTATCCATATTTTCAGTAAAGAGTAGTTTCTCAGTACTGTGATGATTGTGGAGATTTTTATTTATTTTGACATATTGAAAAAAATATACTTAAAAAGAACAACAAATATTAAATAAAAGTGATGTTTTTGTGGATAAAAAGATGTGTTTTTTTTTTCCTTATTAAACACATTTGTTGAATAAATACTGTAAATGCAAAGAGAAATAGAGCCACAAAGTGGCAATCATAATCCAAGCACTATCGGTCTTCATTAACATCATGGTAAGACACAAGAGGCCTTTTTTGAGACAATTTATTTGTAAGGAGTGATGAGGAACCATGCACCATTCAAGGAACTAGCTCCTAGTACAATTGAAAATTATTCCATAATCCATCTTCAGTTTGTCTTTCTGCACATATGTTACAAATTCAGCTATAGTCAGAGAATCACTGGTGTATTTGTAGCCATTTAAGTCAGAATAAGCCAGGTCACACAAATTTGTTCAAATCTTGGGTCACACTTTATTTGGATGGTCCCCTATAGATGCTCTACAGAGACTTAAATCATTAACACACTTTGTGGTGATGTTCAGTTGATTATCAACAAAATTATGACTAGGGTTAGGGTTAGGAGAAGGTGTAGGTTTTGCCTTGAGGCTAAAGTGAGGGTTAGGTTTAGGGTTAGGGTTAGATTTAATATATTCTTTCACATTGAACTTGAAGTTCAGTTGAATTTAATAGATATTTAGTTGATTGTTACTTAAAGGCCAACTGAGCATTTACAAAGCACCTACAATGGACCATCCAAGTAAAACTTAACTTCACAATCAGTTGCATTTAATGACTGTTTAGTTGAAGGTTACTTAAAGATATACTGAACATTTACAAAGAATCTACAGTGGACCATCCAAATAAAGTTTTACCAAATCTTGCAGTGACACTGTGCTTAAATGTCAATGTTTTTAATAATCATTTATCTTCAGACTCACAGATTGTTTGTTTTAAAACCAAATAAGGTAATTTGAGTTGAAGTAATTTTGATTAAAATTCAAGGATTGGTAAGAAAGCATCTATTTTCAAACTTGTATCAATTGTGGAACAACTGTAACGGTTTTAAAGGCTTGTAATTGCAAAATTGTCAAACTCAGTGGAATGAAATGGGCCATTTTGTTTTTCCACAAGATAAATACCATAAGATTTTGTCTGTTTTAAAGTACAATATTTGCAATTAATGTTATCTATGTTATCCATCTAGTGACTGGGCACAATATTGCAAAATTTCATAATTTAGTGATCATAAGTTTAAATCGATTTGCAAATTTAAACATATTTGCAAAGTTTTAAATCTTTGAGTTGTGTTGTTAGTACCCATTATTATTTTCTTGCTTTAATCTTAGAGATATCATGATATTTTAGTGTATTGGGATTAGATTGAGCACTGCAGTGAACAGCTGAAACCAACTGAAGCCAAATTTTAAAGCCTACCTTAAAGGCTATTTTTGTGTACATACAAACCAAATTTGGTCACAATCACAGCATCGCTGAGGAATTCATAACCCCTTGAATCAGTACAAGCCTGGCCAGACTGATTAATTCATATCATAAAATAATTTCTAAATAATACTTGCCATAGAGATCAAGACCAAGTTTGAGAGGAAACAATAAAATCAAGGGAGTAGCATGAAAAATTTACATTTCAAACTCTGAGTACACTGGAAAACAGGAGTTTTTTTAAAAGACTTGTACTTGCAATATTGGCAGGCTCAGTGCACTACAAACATTCAGAAACTTTCTGTGCCTCAAGTAAAAAATATGTATTTGTTTTAAATTTGCAATTTTAGTTACTACTGAAGCTCTTTCTAGTGACCAAAAATATACTCCTGCCTGGTTTTGCGACCAAGATGGGTTTAAGTCAAATTGCCATGTTTTCTGTGCAATGTTGAAACATATTTTTTTTATTTATTAAGTTTTAATATGATGTTCTCTTTATACATTTTTTCTTTGTTTCAAATCATAGACAGAAATAATGACATTTTAGCCAATTGACAAATAGACATTTTAAGTTAAACTAGGTTACACATTGTAGGGACCTGTTGATGCCATTTTAAATGAACATTTGCATGCTTGAATACATTGATGTTTTGTGGCCATTCTGTGCATTAACATGAAGATTTTTAAAAATAGTTGTTCAACTACAGACTCCATAAATTGGTTTAAGACCAAGTTTGAGAAAATTTGTTTAAAATCCATAGACTAGTTCATAAAGCTAATTTTTCAATCTTTGAACAACTGTAGAAAAGTTTTGTAGAATTTTGACTGTAGAATTTTTAAAGACTTTTATTTAAAAAAATGTCAGGATCAATGTTTGACAGGAGTTGAAGTGGTTTATTTTATTCAAGATAAAATTAATAGGATTTCTTTATTAAAGAATGTCACCTCATGGCTAACTAGAGTCAAACTTGATAGGCTTTTAGAGAGTGCCTATATAGACACATCAAATTGCTGAGATGATTCGCCAGTGCTAAGCCCTCCAAATGCCTGTTGAAAGCTTATTGGCTCATGGTGGCCATACCAATTATTGAGTTTTTCTTGTTTATAAAATGGCCAATAGAGAGGCCACAAAGTTTCAACTGAATCGGCCAAATGATTGCAAAGAAACTGTTTTTTTTTATTATTATAGTGTCCCTATTAAATAATTGGTGTCAAACTTAAAGGAGCTTCCTCAAAATCAAGAATTAGACTTTACTTATTAGACTATAACCCAAAGGTTTATCTTATTTATTACCTCTTTTAGTTGGTTTGTGCATGTGTGTGTGTGTTTGTGTGTGTGTGTGTTATGGTCTTTAGTCTCTGTATTTCTTGTTACTTCATTGTGTATTGTGTTTGTGCAGGCTGTGGAGCTGCAGTATTACAGAGGAAGGCTGTGATGCTCTGATTGAAGCTCTAAAATCAAATCCCTCATCTCATCTGAGAGAACTGAACCTCAGCGGCAATAAACCAGGAGATTCAGGAGTGAAGAAGCTGTCTGATCTACTGAAGGATCCGGACTGTAAATTAGAGAAACTAGAGTGAGTTACTGACCTAATATCACTATATCGCTGCTGTCGGAACAAAACCTTGTATCTCCAAAATGCTAACTTTACAGGAGAAGGAAAAAAATATTTTACTTTTAATGTCAGTCAATGAAACCAGACTTTGTTCTAAGTCATTTTGATTCATTTCTTTTGGTCCATTCTTCATGAACTGAAAAACTGAAAAACGAAAAAAATGGAGATACAAGGTTTTGTTCCAACAGCAGCAATATATACAAACACACACAGGCAGCATTGTGCAGTTGGAGTCTTTGGCCTAACCCCTTCCTTCTTTTTACCCCTACCCTTGTTTTTGAGTTTCACTCTAACCCCTTGGAACAGAGTTACATTGGTTAGTGGTTGAAATCTTGCCCTACGAAATGGGACAACTTTAAAATTAAAACATTACTTCATTAACAGCTACTAGTGGTGCTCTGTAGGCAACCCAGCCTGTCTTCAGTGATAGCAGAAAAGGGAATAGTTCAGCAACCTCACTGCTGGGCTTTAGTTACATTTAGGGCATCATATGCTATCAAAGAGGGTGTATAAGACAAATATTTATTATCGACCACCGCTAATTGTTTCATAATATGAAGCTGAAGTCAGATATTCACCAGGTTCTTGTTCAAATTTTCTCGTTCCACCTTAAATGGTGCAGCATTTACTTTCTGGCACTTCAGGCATCACAACTGCTGGACTATTTAAGGTAGAACTGGAAAATTAGCTGGCTAGCTTCTCTCCATGCTCACTGTAAAACCACAAACAGCTCACACAGTCTCAGCCTGCAGCTCCATCAGCCTCATGCAGTTTGGAGGCCAGTGTGGAAGCTAGACATGCAGCTGTATTCATTAACTGCCATGTTTAATTACTGTTACTGCAATTTGATTAAACTAGTTGCAGCTTCACCATAGATCAGCTTTGCTTTCACAAACTCCCAATACACTGTCACAGTCTGACCAAACCACTCCCTCCACTGAGTGGATCAGAGCAGGTAAACACACACACAGCACATGCAGCCACAGCACAACAGAAGGAGTAGCAGTCTCAGAACTTTTAGAAGATAAACAAAGAGAGACACAGAATTCTCCTGCAGAACAAATCCAGTTCACATCTCTAATTCTTAAGTAAATTACTTCTTAAGTAATAATCAAAAATAAACAAAAGAACATTTTGCTGCTGTATACTAGTTCAGTTATTTTAATGTGCCATACTGAAGATGTCAAACAGCGAACAAAATTAAGGTCAAGAACAGCCAGCTACAATTTAACATGACAACAGCTTTTGCTGTTCTTCATCAGTGCTAGCTACATCATATATAAAGTTGTACTGTGGTATGTAAAACACATTCCTCGTTCTTCAGTCCCCAGAGTGTTGCTTTACTGATGCACATGAACAACATACAACACAAAGCAGAACAGTGGTTGCATGATAAGGGTGTAACTCTGCATTGAACACTGGAGGGGTTGAACTAGACCTGTTGGGGTCTAGGGTTATTCAGCCATGGAGAAAAAATAGCAAAAGCTTGCCAAAAGAATTACTTCAAGAACCAGCACTCTTCTCAAGTGTTACAGTAGGGTATATTCCAAAAGTCCAGCCATAGTTAATTATTTATGCTGGGCTTGTGACAAACTGGACATAATAGTGATTTTTATTACACAGATATTTTTGATGTATTAGAGGTTTACAACTCAGAACTGCATAAAAGCTAATGCATTTTTACTTTATTTAAATAGCACATTTATTAAAACATTCTTACCCTTGATCCTCAAGCATTTAATATCTGGAAGCTTATGATGTTAGTTAGTAGTATGTGGAGTACAGTAGTAATGATATATAGATAACTTAGCAAAGATAATAATGTAAAAGTAAACAAATTAGACAAATTAGAAATTTGTATCATTGTATCAGTTTGTATCATTAATTCTATTGTCATTTATCTCTCTGTGAAAAACAGCTGATTTTCTGATTGTTTAGTATTTTATTTTTCTAAAATAGATTGTAAAAAAATAAAATTGTGAGCGTCAGTAGAGCTCAGTTTTTTGTCCATTCCTCTTGGCAATGCAATCAATGCAAAACATCAGCGAGATGCATGATTTGTAGTCATTATAAAGTTCCAGTTTGTGACTCCAGTCTGAGTGAGATGAGGAGTTTATACAGTGTTAATAGAGTTCAATTAAAGTTAGAGAGTGTTTAAAGAAGGAGCTCTTAGTTGATGGTGTGACGGTGATGAGAGTTCATGTCTGATCATTCTGTTCTGTTTCTGTCTTACAGAATCTGAACAAACACCAAACCAGCACAGAGATCTGAGGACAGTGTGTCTTTACTAGTCTGCATGCTTTTCCTGTGACTTCCTGTGCACAAATGACTGTACCTTCAGTGACCTGTCAATCAAACCTCTCACATTAGAGCACACCCCCTAAATATGTGGGATGCTGGTCTTGCTGTGCTTTTGTCGTTCTTATCTGATCTGAGCTTGTGTAAGTTTACATTCACACATGTTTACAATCATTTTAATACAATGTTGTACAACAGTCTTACCTGCTCCTCATATGCCCTCAGAAGATCTGCCTTCTTCTCTAAGTATTCCTGTTGTCTTCTGTGATGTAAAGTACTTTCTGGCAAGCATTTTAAAAATATTAATGGTTCATTCGTAAATTTGTGTCAGTTTTAGACTGCACTTTACAAAAATCTTAATGCCAAGCCGAGTTCTGTCACAGCTGTGAAATGGGCTGTATGACAATATTTCTACTTTGTTTTTTATGGAATGTCTCATGTTTCTACTCACGTGGGCTTTATGAAAGAGGCCAGGCTGTCTGTCTTTCATCTTTGCAATGAGAGGAATAGAATTCAGAGTCTCTTTACACCTAAGTGCAAAGGTGTGCTATATGTGCTGATGGATGAGAATCATGCCATAGTTTTCTTGAACTCTTCCACCATTTGTAGCCTCAGCATCTCCAGTGTGTCTTTATTTTCATCAGAAGGATGATAAGGAATGAGGTTGATTTCACCACTTCTGGGTCTTTTTGTGTTGGACTGGGATGGTGATGGTTCTGGATTGCTCCTGATGTGCTTTCATGCATTGACTCCACATCTTTTACATCATCTCTTTCTGTCAGGCATGTGTATTTACTCACAAGCGCCTCTGCCAACTTGCATATCTATATGTTTTCACTCAAGTCTTTCCATCACTGTCTCTCTTTACTTCCTAAAGCTTAACCTAAAGCTCAGTCTAACACCACCAATGAAGGACTGTACATACAGCTCATACTGCATTTACATAAACTCCTCTGGTGTGTGTGTGTGTTTCTGCTGGTTTGTAACACTATGAACTAGAGTGTGAACAATATGACAAAAATATCACAATACCAACACATTTGAATGATACATGATGTGATTCATGGTATTTGGGTACAGATATAACGCACTAGCAGCGTCATTTAAAGACTGCTGTCAAAACTGTGCATACAATGAATATATTCAGCATTTCCCGCAGTGCACTGCACTAAATCCAGTTAAACAGGACTGATTATGCTGTCTTTATGCTGAAACATGCAGTTGGTCAGTGTTCTTTAATTACAGATGATGTCCACAATATACTCAGAAAAGCATATTGTTTACCATAATAGCAAAATTTAGCTTGAAGAATATTGCCATATTGCCACCTCTACCATAAAATATGTGTTTCGTGTATCGTCTACATTCTTCATGTGTGTTTGACCTGAATATAGATGTTCTCTGTTTTTAGCACCATATGGGCCAAACTCTGCTGCTGATAGTGTTTAGTCATAGTGATTCTGATAGTGAACAGCAGTGCAATATGAACGTGCTTTAGATTCAGTCTGTAACCCAGAGCTCCAGCAGTATCAGGCTTCATTTCACACTTCACCACTAGGGGGCGATAAACTGTAAGACTATAAAACTTACTGTAATGAGAGAACTGCCTCAGCCTTCATGTTTTTATCCTTTTTTAATAAATGTGAAAACTATGAAAATAAGTGCTTTGAAATGTGCATGACCTCTACTAACTAACCCCACATTTATAATCTGTTATATAGCATGAATGAAGCCAATAAAACGGATGGTAAGATGATCCTGGATGTTTCTGTCTTTCACTTCTGATCTGTGTTTTGTCTCTTCTCTTCATCTGAATCTAACAGAACAGAGTTTCTCTCTCTTTAAACCCTCAGCTGATCATCTTACTCTGATCACAGCTTCTTTCAGATCCTCTAATAAAAATCCAAATAGAAGTGTCATGAGCTCACTCCAACATGGTTATAGGAGTTATTCTCTATTCACTGTTCACTAAAAGACCACAGAGTCAATTAAATTTCATTAGTCTTTTTGCTGAGGGATCATGGGTATTGTAGTAGATAAGCAGATCACACGCATGGTTAATGCACACAACGCATATCACCACAAAAATAGCACAGGCAGACAGACTAATCAGGGGGAGATGAATTAATTAAAGTCTTAAATGTGTTTCAGTGGAATGTATTTGTGCACAATTTAAAAACAACAAACTTCCAGCACCACTGGAAGAGAGAGAGGGAGAGGGAGATCTACAACTCCGCAATACTGGACACACACACACATTCGGACAACATTGCATTGAATCAGACTAAATTTAACATGTGTATGTGAACAGAAAGAAAAATACTCAGGTAGCATTTTTGATACTTTGACTATGAACAAGGACTCTATAACTGTTTTTTTCCACTGTACACTGGACTGTTGGTTCACTGCTTCAGCTCTTTGATTGAACCTGTTCCAGTGTTATTCACCTATTTCATTTAATACCTTGCATATATGAGGCTACGCTACAATTAAATTATAGCTGGTTTAGTTGATTGCATCATAAATTCATGCCAGGAATCAACGTCAGCTCAATATCAGAGAGCAACACACTGAACTGATTTCTATGGGGCATTAAAGCTAAAACAGCAAAGATGATCAACCATTTGTGGGAGAAGCACATTAATTATCGAACAATAGCACTT